TCCGCCTTGGGCACCACTCCTCCTATGTATCCTCTGGATACCTACTTTAACAGGGTGTTGCTACTAGGGGTCTGTTGAGACAGTTCCTTCAGCATATACAGAGCGTGCGGTAGCCCCTGTGTGACAGGCCAAGACGAGTATGATTCTAGGCTCTTGGTCGTATTCCCTTAAAGGAATCTATCCTGATTCCAAGCCTTGAGCTCTACCCCGGGCCCAGGAGTTCTGGCCCTAACAGGTAAGTTTTTTGGGGTATGTAGCCTAGGCCTTTGGCCGTAGGGAATAATGTCACTGACAGCCATCTAACGTCCCAGGGGCAACTCCCATGGCAATATGGTAGAGTTGGTACTTAGTGCTCGCCATAGGTTTCTGGCATGCACTCCTCTCAGCATGGTGGCGTGGGTATACCATTCCCCATAGCGACCCCTAGAGGACGCAGTTCGAAGTTCCCATGAAAGGGAACGTCTCTGGTTACGTATGTAACCATGGTTCCCTGAGTAGGGAACGAGACACTGCATCCCCTAGGCTTCTTGCCATGCTGCGGACGCAAGCTTCAGACGAAGAAGTGAATGATGTGTTCTCCAGGCGCCTATTTATACTATAGTCGCACCGGTAGTGATGTCATGGCTGCTGCAGGCCAACGTGTTGTTGATGTTTTTTCAATGTATGCTTCAGACACGGGTCACGACGAGGCGTTCCCCATAGCGACCCCTAGAGGACGCAGTGTCTCATTCCCTACTCAGGGAACCATGGTTACATACTTAACCTGAGACGTTTTTTCATGGTTCTTTAATGAATAAAAAGCTCAAAAGAACAGCATTTTGAAATAGAACTCTTATGTCTTTACTTTCACTTTTGACCCATTTAATGCATCCTTGCTGAATGAATGTATTTCTTTCTTTCTTTCTTGCAAAAAATAAACAAAAAAAACTCTTGAACGGTGGTGTATATAAACTTGTTTTAGCATATAAATATTGGATTACATCAATTAGACAGATACAATTGTCAAAATACTTTTTGTTGATTGGACAACAACCTTTGATGTCGTCAAAAGCTGTAAGAAACGTTTTCTCCCTTATTTTTAAAGCTCCTCCCTTTTTGGTGTTCTTGTAGCTCTAACAGTAAAGCAAAGTGCTAGCCATGAGTTGGATTCCCAGAATGCAATGTGAGTGTCTTTGGATAAGTGTCTGCTAAATGCATAAATGTAAAAGTGAATGTAAAAGTTGATGAGGCAATTTATTTACTTTTTTTTTGTCCTAACTTATTAACATTATCATTATTTTTCCTATCCACGAACCAATTAGAACTGTGAGCCACCAGTTAAGAATCACTAATCTAGATCATTGTTGCTGATGTTATGATAGATAAGTTGTAGTGATAGTGTGATAGTGATAGTGATAGTTTGTAGTTAACATGTCTTGTCTAAATAGCTGCAACGATTCATCAAAGCTAAATACATTTCAACATATCTATTTATACACTATTACTATTGTTATTCTAAGTTGTATAACACACACGCACTCTGAAGCTTAGTAGCCAGAGCACTAGCTCTTCCTCTCTGGGGTGCAGTTAATCAGCTCTAAGCAAATATGTCTGCTGAAGCGTGAAAGCCCCTTCGCTCACTCACTTCACAACAACCCCTGTCTCTTCCACACATCTACCGCCACATCGGCCACCCGACTAGCATGTAGTACACAGCTACGATTACTTTACTGTGACACAGTGCGTCTGGAGTGAAAAATTGTTTCCTCGTTTGAGTGACAGAATCTGAGCGTTCAAGCTATTTCAGCTTTCAATCACGTCAAGGTAGTATCACTCCGAGATGTCATGTTTAATGCTATGACATATCCTAGCATTGGTGTTTTTCCCTCCCTCGGGCTTCCTAATTCAAAATCATTTAGGAGTGTAATCTACCTTGCATTGTTATAGGGACCGCGATCTGTAACCTCCTACCTAGTAAAGTTTATCTTTCACTGGGCTCTCCCAGACAAACAAAAACAAGAGCATAAAAGGGAGAGGGTGTGTGCGAGGGTGTTGTGGGCAGATGGGTCACATGCAGTCCTTTGAGAGTCTCCCCTATCAACCCCATTCACCAGGCCCTATAAAACTGACAGCCTGCTTAAACACCTGACACAAGAAAAGAGGAAAAAACAAAGACGAGAAGAGGCGAGAACAATGGTAAAAATAAATAAGACAGCCCTCGGTGACTGATGTGTAAAGGCTATGGCTGACATCTTAGTGACCATTAATAAATGTGGCTGTGGTCACAAAGAGCGAGACTAAAAAGGGAGAAAAGAGGCAAAAAAGTAAAAGAAAACTGTGAACATTGCCTCCAGCTCTAAATTCCCATGCTTATTCATCAGTGTGGATGGAGCTTGCTTGGCCCATTTTTTTAATGCCACTCACTCTTGGACCCCCTTTAGGGTCTTTGTTTGTCTTTGGAGTCCATGAGAAAAGTCAATTATATTTCAACAACCATGCTTAGTTAACATCACCATGCAAATCTTAAAGGGTGCCATTACTCTTAATCATGGGTTGGAGGGGCGAGAAGTTGCTCTGAATTGCTGCTGCTCTTCGGGCCTTTAAAGCGAGTAAGACGTTACGCACATCTGGGACGGCACATCAAATAGAGAGATGCGTGGAAAAATAAACACTAATAGGCGATTAAAAATCCATATTTATGCAACCCCAATTTTATTTCCTGAGAATTCCACACATGCCTCCATTTGATCTGAGCAGAGAGACCGCAAAAACAAATGTTGAAACCTCAAACCTTGTAATCACAGTCTCATGCAAAAGTCATCAATTAAATTGTAAATTGCAGAGAGAGATGAGTGGAGAAATATTTAAAAAGCAAAGTAATGATGTAAATTAGCAAAAGATATTGAAACACACACACAAGATGAACAGGTTGCACCATCTTAAGTAGGGGTGTAAGAAAATATAGATACACCTGACCTGAGTATCGCAATATTTTGTTTGGTGATACTGTATTGATTCTCAAAAATGCAATATCAATATTAAAAAAAAAAATGTATACAAGATTCATGGCCGTTGTTTTGTTTTGAGTTTATATCCCAACCTCTAGATAGCAGTCTTCTTACCTCTAAACTTAAACAGTGACAACGTGTGCGTTCCACTCCTGCAAGGTTTTTCCAGTCCTGCCCACTCCCGCAAACATTCTAATATTGCATATAATTTTCGCTTATATGGGAGCCACTATCAATGGGGAGTATTTAAATCTCTTTTGAATGAGCGCTTGCACTGTTCACTTTCACTTTCGAATTCGCGATCACGAGCACTTTGTGTAAAGGGAGCGCATCTTACGATATAAGATATTTGTCAATGAGCTCCATTGAGTAGCAAATCCTCCACCATGGTGTTGTAGGTCATCCCTCCTCTCTACCCATGATCAGTCAAATCTGACTCCTGCAAGCACTTAATGGTTCCCCCTTTACTCGTACTGCACAAAAAGTGGTTCAATAGCGTTGAATGTTATAGGGACAGATTAATGCAGATTAATTCTGGTAAAAAAAAAAAATATATATATATGTGTGTGTAAATTTATTTTTATTTTTTTGCTATGGTTTGCATATGGTGGTGTGCTCTAAATGACAGTTTTCCTAAAATTATATCCTATTCTCCTATTCCTAAAATAAGAAATATCCCAATATATCATCTTTCTTACAGTATCGCAATATATTGCAACATATCGTATCGCAACCACTGTATCGTTCGTGATGCGTATCATATCGAAAGATTCTTGCCGATACACAGCCCTAGTCTTAAGACAGATTTCTAATTACATGGTGTCATTATGACGTCTTGTGTAGTTCATAGCAACACACTATTCACGCGAGTATAATTACATAACCTCAAACTATATGTACCACACACCAACTATTAGAGGTGATCTGCACAACTGATTGTGGCAACCTTCACTGAATTTTTCGTTTAGCTTAAGTTCATATTAGGTTACAATTACAAGTTGCTTGAGTAAGATGCTTAAAGGAATAGTTCTTCCAAAATTGAGAATTCTATAATTATTCACTCACCTTCATGTTTTTCCAAACTTGTATGACCTTCTTTATTCTGTGGAACATAAAAAAGGTATTTTGAGACATGTTTCATTTGTTTATTTTGTCCATTCAGTGAAAATCAATGGTAACAAAAACTATTCAGTTAATATTCTTCAAAATATTCTCTTTTGTGTTCTGCAGAAGAAAGAAAGAAAAGAAAGA